TTCTTCTGCCACCCGCTGCTCTGGAGCTTGCTGGATCAGTTCGTCCCTCTCTTTTGTGACACACACACACACACCTGGTCTGGGACGAACTGATCCAGCAAGCTCCAGAGCAGTGGGCGGTGGGAGAATGAAAAAGGAGCAGCACCGGCCCCCGGAAAACCCATCTGCCCTCCCTTTTGGCAGGGGCCAGGGGGGGCGGTGGCGGCAAGCAGCCCCAGGAGTTCCCGGCTTCGCTTTCGGCCCACCTCCGTCACCCCTCTCAGGCTCAGGCTCAGCCCCAGTGTCCACCTCAGTCCTCGTGTCAAGAGGCAGGCGGCTAGGCAGGAGAAGGCTCAGCACGGACTCAAGGTGGGGGAGGCCCGCGGAGGGCAGGATGAGGCCTGGAGAGCTACAGGGAGGCCTTTGGAGGGCAGAGTGAAGCCCGGGGAGCTATGGGGAGGCCCACGGAGGGCAGGGCGAGGCCTGGCGAGCTACGGGGAGGCCCGCAGAGGGCAGGGTGAGGCACAGGGACAGTGGGAGAGGGTCTAGCGCAACTCGCAGGCTTACCTGTGAACAGACAGGAGCCGTTTCCCGAAGGTAGAGGGGGGACTTGCAAGCTTTTCGCTGTGCCAGTGAAAGGCAGGCAGCAATGGCTGGCCTGGTGGGTGGGCAAAAGCAGGCTGCAGCCATGTCACGCATGTACATGATGTTGCACATGCGCGATAGGGACTGACTGGGCAGGGAGCGGAGAAGCAGGCAGAGCGGGGCAGGGCCAGCCAGAGGCCCGATTTACCGGTTCTCCAAACTACCGGGAACTGTAACAACCGGTTCTATAGAACCGGGCCGAACCGGTAGAATCCCACCCCTGGCCAAAACTCACTTAGCAACTACCTGGCTTAGCAATGGAAAGTCTGGGCTCAATTGTGGTTGTAAGCTGTGGGTTGCCTGTACTCTCCTCTCTCTACTCAAGAGGGCTTTAATCTCTCCTGGAGATTTTGTGGGGTTAGATTCTCAGCCAGAATGTTGATTTTTTGAGACTTAAAGACCAGCCATTGTAATTAGAAGCAAGCGATTAAAAGTCTCATTCAGAAGAAGCAAATTGTGGCCCTTTGCAATGTTTGGTTAGGGTAGATCAGAGTGCTGGATCTGAAGACAGTCCGATTTCAATTCAGTTTCAGCTCTGTGGCCCTGAGAGTTACTGAGAAGATGAAAAAGCCAGACATTTTCTTAAGAGAAAAGGTAGCACGATATCTTAGCAGGTAGGACAACATCCTGAAGGAGATGTGGAGGGAGAAATGATGTCGGTGGATGGAAAGGGAAGGTTTCCAAAAGGGAAGGGAAGGGCAGAGGATTAGCACCCCATCTGCAAATCGGGAGCAAAGACATGTTAGCTGAAGAAAGACTTACAGCCAGGAAGCGAGGATCTACCGCATACTCGGGGTGGGCCTGCAGCCACACTTCAAGATCAGCCCGGCGGGGGGCCGCGTCACCCACCAGCAGTGTCCCATCTGTCTTGTTCACCACTGGGATATGAGCCTCCAGGTCGATATCAGGGCCTCTCAGTGCTTCCAGACATTGCAGTTCCAGCTGAGATAGATAGAAAGAAAGACAGAAAGACAGAAAGACAGAAAGACAGAAAGACAGAAAGACAGAAAGACAGAAAGAAAGAAAGAAAGAAAGAAAGAAAGAAAGAAAGAAAGAAAGAAAGAAAGAAAGAAAGAAAGAGAAAGAAGGGAGGGAGGAAGGGAGGGGAGAAAAGGGAGGAAGGAAAAGAAAGATGAGAGGGAGAGGAGGAAGGAGGGAGGGAGGGAGAAAGGAAGGAAAAGAAAGGAAGGAAAAGAGAGGGAAGGGAGGAGGGGGGAAGAAGAAAGAAAAAAGAGAAAGAAAGATGGAAAGGTAGGGGAACGGAGGGATGGAGAGGGAAGAAAGGAAGAAGAAAGATGGAGAGGGAAGGAAGGAAGGAAGATGGAGAAAGAAAGAGTGAAAGAGAGAAAGAAAGAAGGAAAGAAAAAGAAAGAAAACAAGCCAGCCAAAAAGTTAGGGTCTCTAACATGGCTCTCCCACCCCACTTTGCATCTCAGGGCCACAAACCTGCTCCCCACCATTGACTGATGAATTGGCCGCCTCTGGCCACCCAACTCAAATGCCAACTCCACAAGCCAGCAATTGCTCACCTCTACCATTTTCTTGCTACTTTTCTTCTGGGTGAGAGCAGGCCGATCTCGAACGGTGCCATTAGGGACCAGCTTGTGCTTTTGGAAAGTCAGTTTGATTCCTTCTTCCTAGAAAAACGGATGGAGAGTTAGTGGCAAGGGTGGAGAATTCGGGAGCCCACTCTGCCTTCCGCTGCATACCTTTCCAATTAGCCTTAAAAGCTCCCCACGGATGGGGTGGTTGGAATTGGGGGGGGGGAATAATAATGTAAAACCGGTGGCACAAACATCTGTTGATTATCCACAGGATAATCTAAGTTTCTACAACAGGCTCGGAAGGAGTGGGGTCACGTAGGAGCCTTAGTAGATTCTACTATCTTTAGCAATGGATGGAAACTAATCAAGGAGAGAAGCAACCTAGAACTAAGGAGAAATGTCCTAACACAAGGGTGTCAAACGCGATTTCATCGAGGGCCACATCAAGGTTGTGTTTGATCTCAGACGGCCAGGGTGGTGGTGGTGGGAGGAGGTTGTGGGGTGTGGCTATGGTCATGGTGGGCATTGCCAGGGGAGTGGCACGGGACCGCACCTCCGCACACATGGTTTTATACACTTACAAAAATAGAGAGGCGTATGTTTCTGTGATTTTGTTTTTTTTTTAATACAGACTTGATCTACTTGAGCACCCTATGAGCGAGAGAGACCAGATAAAGAAACTGACTCCATAGGAACATGACTAGAATTATAAAATATTGACACAGCCTATAGCAGCAGAATCCTGCAAGCCTGAAAGGTAAATGTTTTACCTTTCCTCCCTTTTGTAACCTTCTGAGTCAAGGACGGCCTCCTGCAGCACTCTGGCAGCCAAAATGCCCCATTTTTGGTTGCAGAGGCACTGCGGACCAGTCCTTGAGTTATTTCCAGGCCGGCCTCACGGGCCAGATCTAAGCACCCTGCAGCCTGGATCTGCAGTTTGACACCCCTGTCCTGATAAAACAATCAACCAGTGGAACGACCTGCCTCCAAAAGTTGTGGGGGCTCCAACACTGGAGGTTTTTAAGAAGAGACTGGACAACCATTTGTCTGAAATGGTGTAGGGTTTCCTGCCTGAGCAGGGGGTTGGACTAGAAGACCTCCAAGATCCCTTCCAACTCTGCTATTCTCACCAGACGAGCTGAAACTAGCCTACAACAGGATGAGAAACTGGGGAAGAGGTTCAGAGTGGGAACGGGCACAAGGAGCTGCTCTTCAAAATTGCCCAACGTGGAAACTTGGTGACTCTACTGCTTTGTTTAGCAGCTGAATCTCCATTTTCATCCATTTTTCAAATTCCCTAACAATACAGCCATTTGGTTTTTTGCAGGGACTCAGTCCTGGCATGCAGGGTGGGTGGGTGGGTGGGTGGGTGTGGGGATTGGATGCTGTTTTTCCAGACCTATCTTGAACTCACATCTTTGATCTGCACGGTAAATTCCTTCTCTTGGTCACCGTGTCGGAGGCGGGTGAAGGAAGTTGTGCCTTCCTCTTGGGATGCCAGTGGGCAGATGTGAGGGATGGGGGAGGTGGTGTACTCTCCGTGCAAGTGGGGCAGGCCTTCTCCCTGGCCAACACAGGACACTACCTGGCCCTGTTGTGGAGAGGGCCACTTTCCGGACAGCACAGCCTGGCACACCAAGTTGATACGGTTGATGAGGACACGGTCCTGGCAGAAGAAAGAGAAAGAGATACAAATATGGGGAAAAGACACCATTATCTATAAGATGCCTTCAAACTCAATCGGCATTTGACCACTTGGGAACTGGGCAGTGGTGGGATTCAAATTGTTTTACCACCGGTTCGGTGGGCGTGGCTTGGTGGGAGTGCTTTGCCTAACACTTGCGTGTAGCTTTCCCCACACCAGCTGAGACCTGTAGCACCAATCAGCTGATAAAGAAAAGCGCAGGGGTGGGTGGGAGGGCCAATCCTGCGCTTTTCTCTTCTTTCACCTCTCAGCTGATTGTCCAGGCTTTTTTTCATCCTCTCAGCTGATCGTCCTCTCAGCTGATCGTCGGTAGCATACCACCACTGGAACTGGGTATCTTCAAGACATCTCAGCTTCTCTCCAACACTTAATGCTTTGATGTTGTTCAACCCTAGTCAACTGAGCTCACGGAGCACCAAGGACTCCACACTTAATAACAATAGTACTTATATAATGCTTCATAGTGCTCTACAGCTCTCTCTAAGTGCTTTATAGAGTCAGACTGTTGCCCCCAACAATCTGGGCCCTCATTTTACCCACCTCGGAAGGATGGAAGGCTGACTCAAACTTGAGCTGGTCAGAATCGAACTGCTGGCAGTTGGCAGAATTAGTCTGCAATACTGCATTCTAACCACTGTGCCACCACAATTCTTAATGCATTTTCTGTCACAAAGACTAAGTTTTGTGAGTGGTGCGGTGGCCTAGAGGTGGTGCTCTTGCCTCACAATCAGGAGGCTGTGAGTTTGATCCTAAGTAGAGGCAGATATTTCACTCTCTGGGCACAATGAGAATATATCTGCTGAAAAAAACTCCATATTGGTGACAGGAAGGGCATCTGGCCAGTAAACACTCAGCTCCGTTTAGTTGTAATGCCTTCTCTGGTTTGCTCATTACCTTTGGCCACTCGTGGGCCCTTTGGCACTCCTGCAGCAGCAGATCTGAGGCACTAGGCTGCGGGGAGTTGCCCTCGTGGGAAGTGGGCAGAGAGAGTAGCGAGGATTCCTCCTCCTCAAAGAGTTTCCCGCCACAAGAAGCCTCTTCACCTGGCAGAAAAACAGCAACGAGAAAATAGGAAGGGATGGAAAGAGAACACGGGCGTGCTCCAGAAGAGGATCCTAAAAGAGAAGGACGTGGCTGGGTGGATTGAATCACACCATCCCACTACAGGTAGTCCTCAATTTACAATAACAATTTGCTTTGTGATCATTCAAAGTTACGACGGTGCTGAAAAAAGGGACTTACAACATTTTTTTTCTCTGTGTCATATAATATATGTGGGTATATACATAATTTTGTATTTATTTATTTTGTCATGTTTATGTAGTGTAAAATTGGAGGTGGTGACACTTTAAGAGCTGTATGCAATGAAATTTCATTTTTAATGTATGCCAATTAGTGTACATTCAAAGTGACAAGTTATTATTCTATTCTATTCTATTCTATTCTATTCTATTCTATTCTATTCTATTCTATTCTGTTCTGTTCTGTTCTGTTCTGTTCTGTTCTGTTCTATTCCCTTTCCTATTCTATTCTATTCTATTCTATTCCATTCCCTATCCTATCCTATCCTATCCTATCCTATCCTATCCTAGTATACATTGGTTGGAAGTTGATCCTTTTGAGTCCACAATTAAATTCTGTGAAGAGTAGGCATTACAGAAGATGGCTTCCTTCCACTATTGTAATTCCTCTCTGGATTTTGCTGTTTCATTGGTACTTAGTTACTCAGAAAATTAGCCTAATATAGGGAAGTACATGAAAACTTGCTCTTCCTGCATTTTGCTCCCTTGCCTATGACTAATAATTGGTTTCCTAATATGTTCCAGAATTAAGAACATGTCTATGTAACCATGCCCTGAATGTACTACTGACCACCTTAATTGTTTCCACAGCAGCACAGAAATTGTTCTAATACAGAAAAATAAAACTGAGGGACAAAGATTTCAAAGAAAATATTATTCTATTCTATTTTCACACTTATGACCTTTGTAGTATCCCCAGGAAAATGGGATCAGAATTCGGATGCTTGGCAAACTGACTCATGTTTATGACGGTTGCAGCATCCCGATGGTAATGGGATGGTCACCTTTTGCGACCCTTCGGACAAGCAAAGTCCACAGGGGAGCCAGATTCACTTAACAATGGCATTACCAATTGAACCCCTGCAGTGATTCACTTAACAAACGTGGCAAGAAAAGTCGTAAAATGGGGGGGAAACTCACTTAGCAAATGTCTTGCTTAGCAATGTAAATTTTGGGCTCAATTGTGGTCATAACTTGAGGACTACCTGTACTAGAGTGCTAATAGGGGATTTTTTTGGGGTGGTGGCGGCTTCTACACCCCTTTGCCAAAAGTCAATCCAGGCCTAGCATCGATTCAGTGTTTGGCAGGAAGGCCAGCGGAACATCTCCTAGCATGCTGTTTTACAAGTTCCATAAAAAAACAAAAGTTAGAATATTTTGGACATGTGATGCGACACCGGGAAAAATATGGCCTACTTCACTTAATCCTCCAGGGAGAGACTGAAGGCAAACGAGGTCCAGGCAGAAGAAGAACATCAAAATGTAAGAGACTGGTTTGGGCAAAACTCAGCAGCACTTTTTTGTGCGGCTGTTCATAAAAATAGGATCGCCAGAATGCTCGCCAACGTCTGTTAGGAACTGATAGTCACCTAACAGTTGGGTTGGAAATATATAAACCAGGATAGACATTTAATACTGTCTCTTTAAGGGAATGCTAAAATTGTAATTGGGTGTGGTTCCTCAAACGGCCATAAGATGGAGCCAGAAACCTGGGTTGTTTGTTCTGTTGTTGCTAGATGTTCTGATGTTTGCTGTTTTTGGTTCCTGCATTTTTCCTATTGACTATTGCTGATCATCGTTCTTCTTGGATTACTGTGAGTCTATTTACTGAACTGTTTATGATACTGGACTTTGATTTTGGATTATCCCTGGACTGAAAACTGACTGCTTTAACTGTGTATGACTTGGACTGTTTGTTGGACTTTGCTTAACCGTTTACTGGAAGTAAAACCGACATTTTACTATACAGTGTATCTGTGTGCTGGTCGTGTATTATTCAACATCACTCTCACTACGTTTCCCTGTGTGCACTCATTCTCCTCACGGGGAATTACCTCAACAACGTCCAATAATGGATAGGGCACAAGAAGAAGACGTTAGTGGACAAACAGTCCGTAGTGGCTAGATTCTGTGCAGCAGCACTGGGGATTCGTCAGAAACACGTGTCTAATACACCACGGCTATTTTATACAACAAATGTGGCAAACCCTTTACACTGGTTATTCCTTCCCCTTTTAGTATTAAACTGATTATGAGCCTCACAATTTATGGATTGTAATTTTAGTATAGTTAGACCAGGGGTCGCCAACCTTTTGGATCCCAGGACCCACCAGATTCATACTTTTAGATCCCGAGGACCACTAATATGATTTTTTTTAAAAAGCTAATATATTTAATATATTTTTTAAAAATATTAAATATAAATTTAATTTTATATATGTATGTATGTATGGTATTCAGCTTTGTTTGGGTATTTTCCCACGTCATTATAGTTGTGCTTTTAAAGTTGTAGCGACGTTTCGGCAGAATCTCATCTGCCATCATCAGGCTTGTGTATTGGGTTCGTCTGTGTGTCAAGCTTTCACAGCCGTTTCTGTTTTAAATTTGGTGCTAGCCTCGTGCTGTGTTAGAATGTTTTTTTCTTCATCCTGATTGGTTGGGAGTCTTGGTCTGTGTTTATTGGTCTTGGAGTTTGCTGTGTTCTGCTTGATTGGTGTTTCTAATACCTTCTGTCTGTTTTGTAGCATTTTTTTGTCTTGATTGGCTGGCAACGTTGTGTTTCCAGTATTGGGGGCTTGCTGCACGAAAAGCCGCCAATACAGGAAACGCAACGTTGCCAGCCAATCAAGACAAAAAAAACGCTACAAAACAGACAGAAGATATTAGAAACACCAATCAAGCAGAACACAGCAAACTCCAAGACCAATAAACACAGACCAAGACTCCCAGCCAGATGAGATTCTGCCGAAACGTCGCTACAGCTTTAAAAGCACAACTATAATGACGTGGGAAAATACCCGAACAAAGCTGAATATCATAATATATAATTTGTATTTAATATAAAAATTACACATACACACACACACTTATTTAATTATGACAAAAATGTAAATGCTTAATGATAAAATAAAACGTTTGGGACTGGAAGCCCCCCCCCCTCCACCTGCACCTTCCAAAGAGACAGAAGAGCCTTTCAGATGCCAGGTGGAGGATTGAGAAAGCTCAGATCTGCAGCTGAGGAAAAGCGGGGGGTGGGGGGGTGGCTCTTCCAGCCTCACCTGGAGACAGGCAAGGAAAGGTGTCCCTGGGGGCACTTCGCTCGCTTTACCACTTCGCTGCCAAACCCAGCCACAGCCAGTAATTATTTGGGGGCGGGGGAGGGGGGAGAGAGAGAGAGAAAGCATATTTCGCATTATCAGGGGAGGAAAGGAGGTGAAACAAAACTCACTCTTTCACCAAGACCTACAAAACGCCAGTCTACCACGTTCTAGGAGATCTTAAAAACCACCAAACGCTCCCACTTGCCGTTCCCGCGCCTCCCGGATCAGGTCCCTGAGATGCACGCTCCCACACACGGTGGCGGTCCCTCAAAGAGCTGGGAGGTGAGAGAACTGTATGGCCCAGATTAATTGCTTTTGGGGGCCATTTCTTCTGCGGCCCACCAAAAATTTTCCACGGCCCACCGATTGGTGACCGCCGAGTTAGACCATGTGTAATTGACAGACTGGATTTTTCCTTATATTTTATTTATTATTCTACTCTAGAATTTTTAACTTGGATATTCACTGAGTGTTATTTGTTCCGGTCTCTGGTCTATGATTGCAATAAACTATCCTGAGTCCTGAATATGAAGACTAAAGTTCCATTAGTGGAGAAATAAGGGACAGAAAAAGCTTTTAATGAAGTTGAGCGGTAAAAAGTACTTAACACTGTATTTTGTAAAAGACTGTGTTAGAGAAAAGCAGGTACAACCATAAATAAAAACGCTTGGTTTTTATAGATAATTGCAATTTGATCCAGAAATGATAGATTTAACAAATAAATAAATGGACAAACGAGGCAGGCTATAGATACACTCACTCAGCCACTACTCCACGTGGATAACACATCCCACACAATGAAATAAATCAGTATGTATTAGCGACAAATACACTGGATTCTGTAATATGTCTCAGTCAGGACAATCTATGTTTGGGCTGTTCGTCTATATGCTTAATCTGTTTCAAAGCTGACTTACTGGAATGTTACAAATTGGGGAAAGGAGAATTCCCTTGAACTCCCTAGAAGAGGAGGCCAAAATACAGTTTGGAGAGGCATTGCTTCTACAAAAAGGCAAGTTAAAAATGCCCTTTCCATCAGCAGGCGTTTCTCAGTTTTAGTAGGAAGGCTGTCTTCTATTGCCAATCCCTTCTGATTTTTTTAAGCAAGGAAAGTTATTTTCTTCTCAGGAGATGAGAGGGAAAGAAGGGGCATCATAAAAAAAACCAGCTCACCCTCACTGTCATCGGAGCAGGCTGAGGAGGACGAACACGACAACGAAGCAGAAATCTTGCTGAGGTCAAGTTCGGAGTCAGAGTCCTCAGCCGATTCGGGTTTGGGGGGCAAAGTGAGCGGCTGTTGCGGTGGAGCAAATGGCTCATTCAAAGGTGGGGCGAGGAGCAGGGGGGATGGAGCATCCGCCGTGCTGACCCCCGGAAGGGGTAGCCCTGTAGGCTGGGCTGGCCCTGGGGGCGGAAGAGGGGGTGTCCCTGTGCCCCCTGCCTGACTGTGCAGGTGGCTGAGCCGAGCCGCCAGGAAAGAAAAGTCTGGGTCCTGCATGATGGTGGTGTCAGTCTGGCTAAGGCCGTGGCGGGCCACTCCCCGCAGCAGCTCCCCGTCGTGGCGCCCGCACTGCCACCATAGCGGCATCTCAGGCCCGGGAGGCTGGCACAGGGCAAGGCGCTCCTCCAAGAGGGGATGGCACAGCACTTGCTCCCGCAGACGGCACAGGAGGTCAATGTGGTACAGGGTGCGGGAGGCCCGCTCTTCCGTGATGGGTTCGATGAAGAGGGTGGGGTCTGGAGACTCTGGAGAGGAAGGGGAAAACGAGGTGAATCTGGAATTGTTCTGCTTCTTGCTCTTTTCCTACATTGTTTCTCTTCTATTCTACCTCATCTCTCTTGGCCCACTGCCTGAAGCCCTTATAGCATGAATCCCCAAGCCCTGGTTTGTGGACCGACACCGGTCCGCAGCATGCCAGCAACTGGTCCATGCAAACAAGCAAAGCCCCATCCACAAGATTAGGCAGCACACCAAACCAAGCCCCTGCCGGTCTGTGGAAAAACCTCTCTCCACGGAAGTGGTCCCTGGTGCCCAAAAGTTTGCGGCCTGCTGTTTTATAGCACTGTTTCTCAATTTTAGCAACTTTAAGATGTGCATAATTTAACTCCAGTAAACTTCTGGCATTCTGGGAGCTGAAGTTCACAAATTAGTTGCTGAAGTTGAAAAACACTGCTTTATGGCAGGGGTCCCCAACCCCTGGGCTGTGGCCCAGTGCCGGGCTGCAGCCCATTTCAGGGACCAGCTTTGTAGAGAAAGGTTTTTCCATGGACTGGAGGAGACGTGGTTTCGTGTGCTGCCTGCATCCCGTGGATGGGGCTGCTCTTTCCTTCCTTCCTTCCTTCCTTCCTTCCTTCCTTCCTTCCTTCCTTTCTTTCCCCCCTTTCTCCCCCCCCCCCCCCCCCGCCCCCCTTGCTAGTCTGCCGAGCCGGAAAGGTTGGAGACCACTCACTTATGGCTTACTTTGAGACTTGTCCTTGAAACCCTCATGTCAGGGGTGTCAAACTCAAGGCCTGGGGGCTGGATCTGGCCCGTGGGGTGCTTAGATCTGGCCCATGGGGCTGCCCTGGAAACAGCGAAGGACTGGCCCATGGTGCCTCTGCCAGCAAAAATGGAGCTTGGGAATCACAAACTCCATTTTTGCTGGCAGAGGGTTACAGGATGCCGTCCCAGCCAAAAATGGAGGTTACGAGGGCTGCACGTGGCCCCCACTGAGCTCTGTTTTTGCTGGCAGAGGGTTGCAGAAGGCTATTGCAGCCAAAAACGGAGCTCGGGAGCCCGTTTTTGCTGGTAGAGCACTTGGGACGCCACAGGCACCCCCAACACGAGAGACATCATGCTGGCCAGGCCCAGACTGGCCACGCCTACCCTAGCCATTCAAGGTCAAACACAACCCTGATGTGGCCCTCCATTCTTTTCCCAGTCTTCTGAAACAACTTAGAAGTACTTGGGAAGTCACAAGAGAATAGTCTATCCACTCCTGTTGATTAAAGCAATCTCTCTTTTTTAAAGCTTCAATCTTAACCACCTCCAAAAAAAGTTGCAACTGCATTTAGAGTTGCATTAACTTTAATGAGTGGTTTCTAATTGTTTCTCAAGTTCATACAGAAGCTGGAGGAAAGAGAAATATTGTAAAATGGAGGAATAATAAAAGTCAGGACCTTGACATTAAATATTTAATAAATAGCAAAAAAAGGTGCCGAGCTCACATTCATGTTAGATCTGAATTGTTTTTCTTCAAGTTCTTTTCCAAATCTGCACAGGCTTAATAAATAAAATCAATGTAAAAAGATTTCCAACCAATTGGCTGACCGCAAAGACATCAGAAACAAGAACTTAATTTACCGTAAAACAATATGCACAAGTCCATTGAATCAGTGGAATCAAGATCAATTCAAGAGTTGTTTTTTTAAACTACCTACAAAATACTTGCCCCTACTCAAAATTGTGGCACCTAACTGGGGCTGTCTGTCTTGTCCCATTCACAATTCCCGAGTTGGATGCCAGGTCTGAATTTTCAGCAATTAAACCGGGAAGTGGACTCGAGGAATTCAGATCAGAGGTTGCTAATCCTAACCCAGTGCTCGGGCTAATCCTAAATATTTTTCTACCCATTCCGGACTCCGCTACTAACCATCACTTGCAGCAGGAGGAAGGCGGCACACCTGTCGACACATGGCCACGAAACTGTGAAAATATTTGGCTAGGCTCTCATTGGTCTTCTTGTCTAAGCGGGCAAGGGTCCGAAACCGACTCCAATGGAACTGCATCGTGTCTGGATCATATTCCACCCCAAACTTGGAAACCACGTGATAGAAGTCCGACTGCTCACGGCGTGTCCACCTTTGGATACAAATTATCGTTGAACTCCTTTCATGGCACACTGAACCAACTGGCAACGCGGTCTTGTTTGCTGCTGATTGACTGAATGAATCATCTGACTTTTTCTCTAGAATGCCCCAGTAAACATTTTTTTAACCTTTTCTCTCTAGTGATGCAGCTAGTTTGGACCAAGGCAAGGCAACTGACTCAAAAGTGGCTCAACAACTCTGTGACCGATGATGTAGGAGAAGAGTGGGTAGAGATGGAGGCAGGGTGGATTTGATTTAAATCAAGTCAATTTAAATCACGATTTAAATCATAATTTTTAAAGAGCAACTGTCATCTCTGTCCCACAGTGGCTCCTCCTCTGACCCGCTGTTGACTCACCGACAATCCCATTCACTTTAATGGGACGGCTGGTGATGCGGCATTGACACAACAAGGTGAGGGATGTGGCAGGCAGCAGGTGAGTGGATGCCCGCTAACAGACGCTGCCATGATGGATCTGAAATGACAGGTGTTCTTTAATATTTTATTTATAAGTGTTATGGTTCGCTGGCAGCCTGTGTAGACAGCAGAGAAATCGGACAGTGGGGAAGAACGGGGACCAGTCCGGGAGTATGGGGAGGACTCAGATGAGGGTCCTGCGTCCGATGCAGAGATGGGGCCAGGACCATCTGGGAGTTGTGTGCTGACTCTGGAGCCTCCAGAGTCTGGCAGCAGTGAGGCAGAGGAACAAGGGGAGCCTGTTCCCAGTGCGTGTGTGGGCAGAGCTGCTAGAAGGCAAGAGTAGCTAAGACAAAAGGGGTGACTCGGGAGTAAGGCTTGGAGTGATTGCCCCTCCCCTAAGGTATAAAGGAAGTGCAAAGATAGAGAAACCTTTGCAGGAAGCAAAGTCGTTCACTCTGTTTGGATTAAACCTTGAAGCTGTGTGTGGACTTTGTACTTCGGTTGATTTTTACAGTTAATTTGGCACTTTAGTTGTTGGCAGCAATTCAAAGGAGATAAAAGTGGGTGCTTACCTCAAGGGACTGTTTGGGACTCATTACGGGCTGGGAATGAACATAATTCCCAGCGTTGAAATAAAACAAGAGTTGTTTGGACTAAGCGTCTGCTTAATTACGGTCTCAGGAAGCCTTGGTCAGAACAATAAGCTTCTTAGAAGGTTTCACTTTCATTTTTACTGCTTGCCCTTCCTCCTCACACTTAGAGCCTGGTGGTAGAGATGCATTTCTCTTCAAATCATCATACAGTTTGTAGTGTACACAGATTTGCAAAACAATGGGATAAAGGAATATTCCTGAACTTTGTTTTATTTCTCTCTTGGTTACTGTGGTTACTGATTTATCTCATGGTTACTGTAAAATTGTGTGAATGCATCAATGCAGTGCATGTTATCTCAGCTTGCAGAGCTTGGATTCATTGAATGAGTTTACCAAAAATGTAAATATTGCAGAATATACAGCCTCATGCTACATAACTAAGCTCCATTTCATGCTGAATAAACTACATTATTAATGTATCTTAAATAGAAAACTATCTTTAGATAGATTTTTACTCCAAAAGCATTTTATTAAAATAAATTTGATAAAAATGTAAAAAATCTATGTTTTAATTTTTTAAAAAAAATCATCAATTTTTATGCACCCTGGCTGGAGGGTGGCGTTAAGCAAGTCATCAGCCTAGAATCATTATGTTCCCACAAATGGTCCCAAGTCTAACCCTTCCTGAATATTGGGACCCTTATCAGGTTCCAACTCAGTACAGGTAGTCTTCAACTTACAACAGTTCACTCCGTGACCGTTCAAAGTTACAACGGTACTGAAAAAAGTTGACATGACCATTTCTCACAATTATGACCTTTGCAGCGTCCCCATGATCAGGGTGATCAAAATTCAGATGCTTGGCAACTGGTTCATATGTATGACTGTCACAGTGTCAGAGTCATGTGATCCCTTTTGCGACCTTCTGACAAGCGAAGTCAATGCGGAAGCCAGATTCACTTAACAACCGGGTGACTAACTTATTAACTTCAGTGGTTCACTTAACAACAAAGGTTGTAAAATGGGGCAAAACCCATTTTACAAATGTCTCACTTAACAACATACATCTTGGGCTTAATTGCGGTTTTAAGTCTAGGACCACCTGTATTGAACTTTAGTTCACCAGATTTTTTTGCATAGGCTTGAGCAATAAATCTTAACTACAACTTAACGTATGGTCCTGATTCTTTATGAGGAATTCAGTCTCAGGTTCAAGTACCTTATTTTTCTGTCTATAAGACACCCCCATGTATAGGATGCCCCCATGTTTCATGTAAAGTATCGTATTTTTCGCTCCATAAGACGCACTCCCCCCCCCCCCAAAAAATGGGGTGGAAATGTCTGTGCATCTTATGGAGCGAATATTGTGTCACAGACTGGGCCATGGGGTGCTTTTACAGTGTCCCTGCCACCTGGAACAGCTGATTGGCGGCACTTCGGGAGGCCGATCCAACCGCCAATCAGCTGCTCGGCGGCAAAGGCTCCAGCATTCCCCGATGGAGGGAATGAACATTGGCTTACCTGAATGTTCGTTTTCTTCTGTGGCGTAGAGAGTCCATATAGATAGGGTTAAATCAGTTCCTGCTCTGGTGGACTGAGTCTGTGTTAAAACTGAAGCTCCGCCCTGCACTGTAGCCACGCCCCAACTTTCGATGAAGCACTTGGCAGACTGGATGTGATTCTGGAGTTGCGAGATAAAAAAGAACATACATTATTGCTCCCCCCAACCCCCACCCAGACCAGACGAACCAGGGTCGCGCTGGACTCTCTACGCCAGGGGTCCCCAACCACCGGGCCCCGGACCGGGATCGGTCCGTGGAACATTTTCTACCGGGCCGCCGGTTTGCTGGGCACCGCCATCTTGTTTCGATGAGAAAGTGCTTCCGGGTGAGCTTTTCCGGTTGGAAAGTGGCGTTTGGGTCCTGAAGGAATCCTCGCGCCTTAGTTTCATCGAAGGGGGGGGGGCGGCTTCGAACGAAACTAAGGCGCGAGGATTCTTTCAGCACCCAAGGCAAGGCAAGCCAAGCGACCGTCCCGAAGCCATCCCGAAGCCCATCGACAAAGGTACAAAGGAGGAGTTGAAGGTGGCGGGGAGAAGTGGGGGACGGCTGGCTGGCCAGTCGCTCGGCTCGCCTTGCCTTGTCATGCGTGCTGATACCGGTACCAGGCCGCGGATCATTTTGTGATGCCGGTACCGGGCCGTGGCACAAAAAAGGTTGGGGGCCACTGCTCTACGCCACAGAAGAAAACGAACATTCAGGTAAGCCAATGTACATTTTCCTATCTGTGGCTCTGAGAGTCCAGATAGATAGGGACATACCAAAGCTGGCCGGTCCCTGGAAGGGCATGAGTCTGGTCCTACTCACATTGGCGTTCAAGTACGCTCTGTAGAACCCTCCTGCCAAAAGCTGCATCGGCTGATGCAAAGGCATCCAAGCGGTAATGCCGAATGAAGGGTGACAGTGAAGACCATGTAGCCGCTCTACAAATCTCTTCAATGGGTGCTTGACTAGCCCATGCTGCAGTTGTTGCCGCACTTCTAGTAGAGTGAGCCATCACCCCTCGAGGCACCGGAAGAGACCTGCTCTGATAAGCCTTATCAATGCAAGCCCTAATCCATCTACCCACTGACGATGGAGACACATTCAACCCCATTGTGCCTGGCTGGAAGGACACAAAAAGTGCCTCCGACTTTTGGATAGAACGTGTCCTCTGGATGTATATCTTTAAGGCTCTATGGACATCCAGGGTGTGCCACGCCTGTTCCAAATTATGGGTAGGATTGGGGCAGAAATTTGGGAGAATAAGTTCTTGAGTCCTGTGGAACCTAGAATTAATCTTAGGGATGAAAGATGGGTCTAACCGCAAAACCACTCTATCTGGATGGAAGACACACAAATCTTCCCTTACTGAAAGGGCCGCCATCTCTGAGATCCTTCTAGCCAAAGTGATGGCTACTAGAAATGCTACCTTGAGAGATAGGAAGTGTAAACTAGTGGACCTGAGCGGTTCAAAAGGTTCAGCCATTAAGGCCCTTAACACCTTAGGAAGATCCCAAGTGGGGAATCTGTGAATCACAGGAGGTCTAAGGTTGGTGGCCCCTTTTAAAAACCTCTGGATGGTTTGGTTCTGAGACAAGGACCCCTTCCTGTGTATGTACAATACTGAAGAAAGAGCGGCCACCTCTATGCGTAAAGTGCTTGCTGAGAGCCCTTTGTCAAGACCCTCTTATAAAAAATCCAGAATGTTGGCTACTGAAGCCGAAGTGGGGGAAATCCTATTCTTAATGCACCACTGGCAGAAGACCTTCCATGTGGCTTGATAGATGTGGTTGGCTGAAGGCCTCCTAGCCGCTAGAATGGTACGGATGGCCCGATCCAATATATTTTGTCTCCTCAGAGTGCTCCGCTCAACCTCCAAGCTGTCAGATCGAACCACTGAGGCTCTGGGTGGGTTATTTCTCTTTGGTGTAGGGATACCTTGTGAGGAGGGATTCTCCATGGTTGGGTGGTCGAGAGATTCACCAGATCAGCAAACCAGGGGCATCTGGGCCAGTAAGGCGCCAGAAGTATGACCTCCGCCTCTTCCTCCAGTATCTTTCTGACTACTGCTGGCAGCAGCTGAAGAGGAGGGAAGGCATACAGGAGACCCTGAAGCCACCTGCTCCTGAGGGCATTGGTCCCTTCTGCCCTCTGGATCACGAACCTGGTGAAAAACCTGGGTAGTTTGGTATTGGTTGGAGATGCGAACAGGTCCACCACTGGTAGTCCAAACCGTTGTGACAGCTCCTGAAAAAAAGGGGGAATACTCCACTCTGAGGGGTCAATCATGGCCCTGCTAAGCCAGTCCGCTTGCACATTTTCCACCCCAGATAAGTGTTCTGCCCTGATTGACAGGAGATTCCCCTCCGCCCAAAGGCCCAAACATTCAGCCTCTAACATTAAAACCATAGAACTGGTGCCACCCTGCCTGTTGATGGCCTTGGTGGCTACATTATCTGTTAAAATTAGGACATGTGTGTGTTGTATGATGTTTCTAAATTTCTTGAGAGCCCATCGAACCGCTCTCAATTCTAACCAATTAATGTTCTTTCCCCTCTCCAAAACAGACCACTGGCCTTGGGCCAACTGTGACTGTAAATGTGCCCCCCAGCCGGAGAGACTGGCATTGGTAGTGATTACTTTTCAGGACGGCTCTTTGAATAATTGACCTGCATTCAAAGCCTCAGAAAACCACCACGACAAGGACTGCTTGACAGACCCTGGGACTGTGACCTTGAGAGATGAGTGACTTCTACCTGCCTTTTGGTGGGGCAACAGAAACCACTGAAGCTTTCTGGAGTGTGGTCTAGCCCAAGGCATGATGGAGATGCAAGAAATCATCTTCCCTAAGAGTTGTGAGAGAAGTGCCAAAGGGGACTTATCCGCTCTCACGACCTCCCCCACCATGCTTTGTAAACTATCTTTGCGTTCCTGTGAGAGGAATACCTTACAAGACACTGTGTCAATCTTAGCTCCAAGATGCAATAAACATGTAGATGGTGAGAAATGACTTTTCTTGTTGTTAATTGAAAACAGGGAGACTGTTGCTTGGAGATCCTTTAAGGCACAGTCATGTGAGGATGATTGGATTAAAATGTCATCAGGTAACATTGCACCCTTACTGGGATGGTTCTCAAGCGAGCTGCCAAGGTAGCCAAGACCTTAGTAAACACTCTGGGTGCAGAGGATAAACCAAAAGGCATAGCCCTATATTGGAAGTGACACCCCTCGTAGCTGAAGCATAAATATTCCATGTGTCTGACAAATTCTGATGTGTAAATAAGCCTCTGTTAAATCAATTGAGGTGAGGAAGTCATCCTCCCTTACACTCTGCAAAAGAGACTGCAGCGAATGCATCCGGAAACGCTTGTACAACAAAAATTTATTGAGCCTTTTTAAATCCAGAATGGCTCTCCACTCTCCAGAAGCCTTGGGAACAACAGTCAGGAGTAGAATCCCTTACCCTGTTGATTAACTGGAACTGACTGGATGGCTCTAATATCCAGTATCTGTTGGATGGCCTGTTCCATTTGTTTCCTACGGGAAGCCTCCTTGGAAACAGGGCAAGGCACATAAAATCTGGGAGGCTGTGACCTAAATTCTAGGAAAAGGCCATGTCTGATGGTCTTTAAGACCCAAGCGTCGGATGTAGTAGCCTCCCATTGGGCTACAAAATTGGATAACCTACCCCCAATGGGAGAACTTCTGCTGCATTTAGCGGGAACAACGGAAAAAGCGACTTCCTCCCCCACGAAAGGGCCACTTGCCTGAAAATTGGGGCCTATCTCTGGCCACTCTTTCCTGGGGGCGTTCCTGGCGGTTGAAGGACTGCTTCTGAGGCCCTTGAGCCGCGGTGCTGCCCTCAGCTCTGAAAGATGACCTGTGGGAATATGGTGCCACTCTGTAACTGGACCACCTTGCCAGAGAAGGAAGGTATATTTTTTTATCTCTGGTCTCCACCAGATGGGGCTCTAAGACCTCCCCAAACAATTTATCCCCCTTGATGGGGGCAGATGCCACCTTCCACTTCCGCCACCCATCGGCCTGCCAGTTTTTAAGCCAGACCATTCTGTGGGCTGCTGCAGAAGTGGCGATGGCCTTTGAAGCAAATCTGGCACTGTTTAAAGTGGCTTCCGCAGTAAATTCAGCTGCTGCCATAAGTTTATGGATGTCTTGGTGCACTCGGACATGTGTGGCAGGGACCCTGTCTTGCAGCTGGTGTAGCCAACGTAAGGAAGACCTCATAAAGAATGAGGCAGCCAAAGCAGCCTTGACTGCCCAGGCAGCCACCAGGTGGGTACGTTGGAGGGATTGTTCTATCCTCTTGTCCTCTGCCTTCAATGCCTCCTCTGGATCAGCGGGGTTTGATGAAGAAGAAATCAAGGCTGCAACTGGACTGTCCACTGATGGAACCTGTAATGAGCTGGTAAGTTCAGGCTCCATATTAAAGTAGCGGCATTCGCTGGCCGATAACATGGCAGATGTTCCCGGAGATTGCAGCTGTTTCTTGATAACATTCAAAAATAATCTAGGCACTGGAACCATTTCAGGCCGCGTTGTTGGTTTGTCAAAATATTGGTCTGGAGGAGCAGCAATGTCCCCTTCCACTTCCCCGACATCTGCTTCTGGTCCCAACCGGGCCGTCTTCCTGGCCTTAAACAATAAGGCCCTGAACTTTTGAGAATGAAAGAGACTGGAAAAGGAAAGTCTCTCCGGGACCATTTCTTCATCTGCCGAGAAATCAGATTCCCTCTTGTCTTCCTCTGGTGTTTTATGTGTAAAGCTATGTATGGAGGGGTCAGGGGAAGCCCTGTCCCTTAAGGAGTCTCTGCTTCTCTCATGAATTGACTGTTCTAGGTATGAATGTTCTGAAACCACCGATTCAGGCCTCCTCATAGCTTGGAGGCCTTCCACAATACCTTACCTTATGGCTCTAGAGATAATTGTCTCCATGTGCGCAGGTAATTCTGCTTGAACATCTTCAGAACTGCGCAAGCCAGCAGCTGTGGGTAAGTTGCTGCCACCCCTGGTCTGGCTCTCTTTGGAGGTGCCCTAGTTTCATCCTGGCAAACTGCTTGGGGTCTCCTTTGTAATCTGAAACTCACTCTATTGGGTTTGGATCAGCAAGTTGTCAGGTGACTAGGCTTGTAAGCAAGGTCCACTAGTGGAGGTAGAAGGCCCAGGCTCCATTTGTAAAACTGGAGGCACAGCAGAAGAATCTGACTCCTCTGGGTCTGGTGATCTCCAGCTCCTCCCACCAGCAGCACGCTGGCTTTTCTCCACCTGCTTTTCTAGAGCCTTCTGCTTTCTCAAGGCATCCTGCTCCTCTGCCCTGGAAGGTTTCTTGGGTTCAGGGGCCTTTCTCTTCTGCCTGCCCCTAGATTTACCTCTAGAAGTAGAGGGACTGTGACCACCTTCCTGATCTTTATCTGCCATCCCACTGGGGGATTAGGATAAACAAACACAGCCAGAGGGAGAGGATGGATTCTGGTGGGGAAGGGGATGAGGAGTTAATAACACATTTACTGCTTGCCCTTGCCAGTAAAGCCCCATCCAGAATAAAAAAGATCCTCTTACCTCTGGACCGGCGAAGCAAGCCTAGATAGGCCTATTGCTGGGCTGCAGCCACACCCTGCCGGTCACCCTAATGTAATAATGGACCTGCATACAGGTCTACTGGCGCCCACACGATCACCTCAGTTCTGTAGCTGGAATCACAGCCCTGACAATGTGGTCGATATGCGCCCTCAGCTGGGGTCGATCCAGTCCTCACCACTCTTCAGCGCCAACTACTGCCACGCGGCTGCACCTCCCAGCTGGGATCGTGCCGATTGCCCGATCAAGCGGCTGCTTTGCCTGCTGCAAAGCCTCATCTGGGCCAATTGCCCCTTTTAGCCACTGCTGCTTGCTGCGCTTTGCAGCCAAGACGATTGAATCAAAAATGAAAGCGAAAACAGTGCTGTTCCTCCTTGCTGCTGCTACGCTACCGTGCACAACAGCTGATAGCCTTTATCAGGCCAATCTCCTGGAGCCGCTCCATGTGTTCGCAGCTCTGCACATTGGGGCAGCCGCCCTGAACGTGATAGCCAAGCCTGGAGGCTAAAAGCCTCACTCCTTGGCTGCAGAGTCCTCCAAAAGCCTCTGCTGCTCTTTAAAACTTTTTTTCTTATGCAAAACACCTCCACTTGCAATTCAGGTGGAGCCTCAGCAAACTCACGTCCTGTCCTGGCTGGACTGAGTCGAAAACTGGGGCGTGGCCACGGTGCAGGGTGGAGCTTCAGTTTTAACACAGACTCAGTCCACCAGAGCAGGAACTGATTTAACCCTATCTATCTGGACTCTCGGAGCCACAATTGGAAAACAATGGCAGCGTTTCCGGTTGGCCAGCTCGCTGATCAACGGGGCTACAGGAGGCTGGGATCCAGCCGTCACTCAGCTAACCGGTGGTGAGCACAACAGAGCGGAGCCTTGACAAACCATGTGCTGTTTGCTGTTAGGATGCTAGCCAGATGAATACCGGATGGATGCTGGCAGGCAGAGGCAGATTTTTTTTTTCTGGTTTTCCTCCTCTAAACCTTGATGTGTCTTATGGTCAGGAGCATCTTATGGAGCAAAAAGTATGGTAAGTAAGCACACTACAAGCCACCCCTGTGCAGAAGCCATCTTATTAAAGAGTGAGTAATACAAGAACAGGAAATGCATCACAGGACCAATAGAGATGAAACCTAGAGTGGCAATGTGATACTGGAAATAACTACAACAGAGAGGAATGATAAGAGCGGCATGTAAGGTGGAGGGTCATCTGACATGTGCAGCAGAGCTGGAGGACGGGGATGGGCTACACCTTCTCCTCTCAGCCTCCTGTGTATAAGACGCCCCTCCATTTTCAAGTAAATATTTTAAATTAAAAGTAGCGTCTTATAGATGGAAAAATACGCTACTTCTCCTTACCCAGCTTCTCCAAAGAGGAAGGGGAAGAGGCCCCAAAGATTACCTCTGCTGCTTCTCTTGACGCACCATCTCCTTCAGCTTGAAGGAGGCCTCGCAACACCGGCGCCGCCGATTCCCCCGCTCCGCGGCCTCCATCTTCAGTTGCTCACGCTTGTAGCTCCGCTGGAAGGCCGTGATTAGTCGCCGCAAACGGGCAGTGAGCGCAGAGGCTGGAGGCCAGAAAAGATTCCCTGGCTGACCTAGAGAATGATGACAGGGATGGCCGTGTGACTCTTTGTTAGGTATAACATTGATACCAAATATGGTTTGGGTGAATAAATAT